CCTCATCACGACCCCGCATGGCGGCTACCCGACGTGCCCCGTCCGCCTTCTTGGGGGTCAACGACCCTTTCTTTTTGGTGTCTGTAACGGAAGGATGCTTATGCCATACCACACAAACACCGACCGAGCACCAACCCAAAATTTTGAGATTATCTATAAATACTGCAAAATAAGCGCTTGTCACTGTCAAAAAAAAAAAATGCGGAAGGAGTACAAGATAGGGGGGGCTACACCGCTTTGCATTGGTGCACGTACGTCAAGCTACACTGCTACGCAGTGGCGCATGCGAGGCAAGTTGCACCACTTTGCACTGGTGGGCTCAGAGAAGTGGCTGATGGAGAGGAGTATCTCAGCCAGGTCAGCTTTCCCATCTGGGGTTGGCGCTTGATATGTCCTTTGCTTATTGAATTTAAAGAGCAGAGGATGAGTGCTTACAGTGACATGGGCGCATGCTCGGTACTTTATTGTACATAACACATCCTACAGGTGTATTGTGTAAAGCGAGTGCAATATATCTGGTTTATGTGCTACTGTGAATGTTGGTAGGATATGGTGCTTCCTACAGATGTTTGTGAGAATAAACTTGAACTTGAGCTTAGTCAAAACTACTTCTACAAGCAAGCCTATCATACAACATGTTTTGTTCCAATCGGTCTTATCACAAGCTGAAAGATCATCACCTTAACTGTAGCGCCATAGGCCTTTTACTTTAACAATTAGCCCTTTCCCTGCCATGGACGACCTGGGTTCGTCCACACTGTTTGTACCGCTCCTCCCGAAGACGAACTGGACTCGTCCACATTGATTTGGGCTCCAGTACGCTACCATGGACGAACTGGGCTAGTCCACGTGTTTCTAGTGATCTTTGCCGTGGATAGACGGCGTTTCACAGAAAATAAAAAACTGGTAAATTTTTGAATTCAGCATAAAATTGTTCCAACGCAGACAACAGGGGATTTAAAAATGGCGGCGTCAATTTCTGCTCGCTGCGTTCGTAGTGACGATCTTGCCTCAAAATTGGGGCGAAAACAAAGATATTGTGACATCTCTTCAGATTCAGAAGACGAGGAGATGAATCGTTCATCCAACAGCGAGAGTGATGCAACTGAGTTATTGGATCAGACGACTCCGATTTCGATGAGGACATTGTGTCGGCGTGTCTGCATTGGACTAGAATCAATGTAGAAAATCCCCCTCCAGCCCCTCCACGTTTTGCGTTCACTTTGTGTGCAAGGTGATGTGAACTGCCTGCAGTAGTGCTACGCCAGGCCCGAAAGTCCATCTGATAGGTGACGTGAACTATCTGCAGTAATGCAGTGAAGCGGAACTTTAGTCCCTTTTTCTTTTGTAGTCTGTTCAGATTACTTATATAACAAATATTTGGGCATTTGTTTTTGGCCTTTGTATTGCATATTAAATTTATAGGGCACATAAAAAAATTTGATATTTTCAAATAGTTTTTTTTCAAACTTTTTTGCAGTAGGCAAAGGGTTAAGGAGATTTGCACTGACAGCTTCATGTGACACTTCCTATGAACTAAGGATAGAGTCAGTATGAAAGCCACACACCAAAGTTTTTTTTGTGTATTTTCGTGCTAAAAATTAATTTTAAAGGACAAGTGTTCAAGGATAACAAAGTAAGGCATTGAAACTTGGAAACCACACTTCGCAGAGAATCCTGCGGAAATATTGTGCAATGCCTTTAAAAGCCAGCACAAAATCTGACTGATTACCTTTTCTTGAACCGTTGACGTCATGAAAATTGACCGGAGACGCACTCTGCTCCTCAGTAGGACCACCATCACACGCCTTGATGATGTTGAGATCGACAATGTCCTGAGCACTAAAGAAAACACCAAATCATAATTAAATTTATAGCACTAATACAAGACCATGAGAAGAGAGTAACAGAATGCTCTTTCAATTGGCAAAAGTTGCGATTAGAAAGCAACCACCCACACTTTACTATTTAGTAGTAATCAGCGTTTCCATGATGCTATTCAGAGCACCACAGTATTTACTTGATTTAAACTTTGCTTTCAGTTAACATTCACTTGACTAATTTTTATTGTTGTTTGAACAGTTTCTATGCTCATATTTGTTCGGCCCATTTCAACACCGATACCAATTTAAACCGTTGACCTGAATTATGCCCATAGGACAATTATAATTATGTTCTGACAGTGATTTAAGTTATGTTGCGATACTGCAATACAAAAATGTGCTGGAATTCCTTTTAACAAAAAATGTAGCAATATAGGTAGATATTTTTTCTAACAAGAATAATTTATACTAAGCTTCGAAGTTAATAGCTAGTGTCCATATATCAGTTTTAACAGGAGTAATTTAAACTAAGCTTTAGAGCTGACACCAGGTTGAGAAGACCAACAGTTAGTTCTCATATGCATTATGTAGCTTTAGCCATCTTACCAAAATTGTGGCACTCACATGCATTTCAGTTATATAATAATGCTGATAGTCCAGCAAAGCCCTACAATTGATGTTTAATCAAAAAGTTTCAACAATAGTATCAATCTGAGTGTATCCCCAACATTTTTTTATGGTAATATAAACAAAACTCCAACATTTATTTTTAATTATGGGAAGTGGCAATGCTGATAATCAACTGAACAAAATCATCTTGTGATATAAAGTATTTGAGAATGTTTGAAAATAGAAAACTATAGATTATAGCTTCTTCATCATGCACCACTCCCATTAAAGATGGGACGTCAATTATTGAAACTATGGAAATCTCAGATCGAGGAACCAAAAGGGGAAATTCCTTGGTCTTGAAATTCTGCTACGTTGAAAGTTCATCAGCTAGCCTCTTCCTTTTCAGTTATTTCCTTCATTCACCAATTGATCCATTTTTGTTCTACATGCAATCTTGACCTCTTCCTTTTCAGTTATTTCTTTCATTCACCAATTTATCTTGTTTTGTTCTACATGCAATATTGACCTCTTACTTCTGCTCTTATTTTTACCTACAACCTTTATCTTTGTTTTTAGATTACTGCAAAACTTATCATCGCTTGAAGGGTGAATGCCTGGTTGTGTTATCACGATTTATTTCTTTGAGAAGAATGTTGTGAAAGTAAACCTTTTCCTTTATATGCCTTGTTAAATTTATCGCTACTGTTAAGAAAAGGGGTAGAGGGGATGGTGCATGAAAGCACCCTATTTAGAAAGACCCGTGTCATATGTTCCGCGGCTAACGCCCCGGCATTTTTGACCTGCTCTCAAAAGTCTGTTTTAGAAGACCATGACGCGAATCCCCTGTGTCAGGTAGCCGGGTCCTTAGTGCGAGGGTGGAGTATTCTGCTTTTAACTAAGGAACAGTAAGCGTGCACGCGAGCTTGTGTAACAATTATGCCGTCCCTGGGACCCAAGTAAGGAATCAAAGGATAAAGCATCCCGTTCTTCAGGCGTACACTATACACATTCACGTCTTCTGACGTTACAATTGAGAACAAAGAGAACATATCCGTCACTGGAAAAACATTTAAAGTTACCCTCAATGGATTAGGGTAAGACATAAAACAATGCTGGTTGAAGCGCGAAGAGGGTGGAATGGGGGCAGCGAGGACGGGGCTTTTGGCACTTGGGGAATATGGGACGGGGTAATTTAACGCTGGGTTTTCGAAACGTAGGGCTAATGACAGGCAGGGCTTTTGCGATGGGGATTCTTCATGCGGGGCAAGCGTGCTATACCTGGGTGGAGGGCACCCTCGAGTTTTTGTTTTAAACATCTTCCCTGTTGTTTTACCATTTATTTTGAACCAGAAAGAAGCTTGTGAACATTATTACAATCAAGTAAAAACATTGTTAATCATTTTAACTCGGTCGCACCACTGATAGACATCTAAAAAAATATAAACTTTGGTATAACTCTTCCCTAGCTCATGTAATCATAGCTCACAGACCTTAACAAAGCTCAAAAAGTGACGTTAATTTGCGGTAAGTCAAAGCATTATTGCCCATCTGGATTAATTTAGGCACCTAAGAATAATCTATCAGAACTTTAACATTAAAGTTGTTTTAAACCACAATGTGTGTGTCTCTCAGAGATGGTAGTTTGAGGAATCCTGGCAGCGACATGCCCGAAAGATTCCACGACATACACGAGTTTCGCCTCGAAGGGGCCTGCGACTCTGCTGCGTCGACAAGGCACTCACAATAAAAACATAAAAAAAAAATGGATGCCAACCAGATGGTGACTTGAGGAACATGACACTTAACGCCGTTTCTGGTGGCTTGTGAGAGCACGATTTGTTGTCGCTCAGAGTCCACGCTGACGATTTTTCCTCGGTAAGTTCCCAGGATGTCACCGCATTCGACCACCACGACACAGCCAACCCACTGGTCGCTCATGACTTGGCCAAATGTTTCATGGATATTTCAAGAAACGTCTATCAAATACGTATCAGGATGTCATCGAAGTCTGGCTCTTGTCCCGTCCAAGAGGTGTCAAACGTGAGCGACGGCTTCGATGTCACGAATCATCGGTGGGAAGGATGTAGTTTTTTGTTTTGTTTTTGTTTTAGAGAAACTACTCAGTGCCAACGGACTGGCCGCTCGGTTTACTTTGCAAACAGCTAAACAAGTAGAAGGCACCAAGGAAACGTATTTTGACAACTACCAACGCAGAAAGTCGATCCGCCGCGTAGCAGAAAACACAAAAAGCTGGGAGGCCACACGAAATGGATGGACGGGTGGATTCTGTTGGCTATTCTCTTTGACTCTTGGCTTTTATTGTACAGAAGCACCTACAAAAGCTACAAAACGTGAAACATTTTCTGTTATTCCCATTAAGGAAAACGAGGAAAACAGTTGTAAAGGCGTAAAAATATATAAGCAAAACACAAAAACAAACCTAACATTGTTTTTGTTTTTTTTTACGTGACGTCACGTTGAGTCACGAGGCCGAGGCACACGAGGCGTTAGCCAATCGGAGCCGTTTGTGCGATATTCAAAAGGGTTCATCCGCGTGAGCAGTGTTCGGGAAACCAGGGAAACCGTGCAGTTTATCAATCAGAACAGCCTCGAATTTTCTCCGCGGAGAAATCTGACCCAAAGTCAGAATGGCCCAGAAGAATATCTATTACTCCGACAAGTACTACGACGACAAATACGAATACAGGTAAGCTTTCCCAAAAGTTTTTTTTTAGCCACGTCGGTGGAACTGTTCGGCGGGAACAATCATGGCGCTGGTAGCGATCCTTGCCACCTGCCCATTAATCAAATCGTATGACAGTGCTTTTCGAGCTAACAAATAAATTTACCTTGCGCTTTTTTTTTAATCAATTACACAGCATCAATTCAAGCAATGATGTTAGGCCATACTTCGTTGGTTACTTGGTTTTGTTTTTTTCTCTGCCTTGTATCAATGGGACGGACTTGCCACTGGTACCAGTACGATTCCTAGGACCTGCTTTTGCTGATGAGTAATCATCGAAAATCGTGTTATGTGTATGTTTAGACAGCGGGAAATCGGGCAGTCCCAAATGGGCGTTTGTTGTCTTCGCCGTAGTTAAGCTATTTAGCCACTGCGGTAAGCACCTCTAGACTGGGGTCTTGTGTGATACACGACCGCACGCCGGTACCGATGCTCATCCAGATCGAAACAAGCAAGGGTGGGGTTGAACCTATGATCCCTGGGTTCGACACAGGGGCGGATCCAGAACTCCTTTTTCGGGGGAGGGGGGGGGGGTGGAAAAATTTGTAAGGATGCTATTCTCCCATTCTTTTTTGTGCACCGGGGGGTCCACCGATGTCAAATTGCCTTCCGAGAAGGGAAGGGGGGTAAACTTTGGGGAGGGCGACCGCCCCCCCCCCCTCCCCCCCTCCTTGGATCCGCCCCTGGTTCGGCAGCGCGAGGTTTAAGCTTTTCATGTTCTGTGTGTAAACGATTCCGAACATGATGTGGCCATTTGTTCCAGGCACGTCGTCTTGCCTAAAGAAATCGCCAAACTCGTCCCAAAATCCCGACTCATGAGCGAGACCGAATGGAGGGGCATCGGCGTGCAGCAAAGCCACGGCTGGGTGCATTACATGATTCACGAGCCCGGTGAGTAACCTCACTTTCTTCCCATTTCTTCGACGTGAGTGTACTGCTTTCAAAGGCTGTGTATGGGCACTTGGCTGTACGGACATGTTGGTGGATCTACATATACATCTGGTACCTTTCATGCATCAAAATATTAAAGTTAACAATGATCTGCAGTCTCGTGGTTCACCTATTCCAAACACTTATTGTATTTACACCGAAACGTTTGTGCACCGAAAAGTCCTACACCGGCATGTCAGGATCTCTCTTTTAAGCCTTGCTGAATAAGAAGTTTGTTTTTGTTCTCGCTGAACTTGTTCTCTGTTCAAATGTAGTGCTAGCAGTCTGAACCCAAATGCCAAGGTTTGAGAACTAACTGCTGCCTCGTTCAAAAGTTATAAGTGATTTTCCGAAGATTCTCATGGAAAAAGTGCGACCCGTTTTCGGTAACTGGTGCTGTTCGGCTTCGTTTGTTCAAGAGCTCCGTTAACCACCATTTTCCCATTGAAAGTTCCAGAAAATCTATTTGATGTGTCGGCGCTGCTGGACTATCATCATCATCGCCACCGACCATGGGTGTGGCACTATCATCATCGCGACGACTTCGGGTGTGGCTCTGATCCGGAGCGCATACCAGGATGCGCGCTCGCACATGTGCTTGTTTTAACTGCCTACCGAACTGATCGTTTAGCTTTTATGGGTTCTTGCTTTCATTAAAACTCCGGCAGCCAGCGACGGCTGCTCGGACATAACAGTTGGCGACGAGAATCAGCACCCATCGACCTAGACCGGTGCTTCAACAGCGAGCGACGACCAGTGCTACGCCATGGCCACGCCTGAGTTCGGTCGCATACGGGAGTTCAACGGCAGTTCCAGCTCCTGGAGATCATGGTACGGGCGGCTGCAGCTCTTCTTCGAGGCTAACGATATAAGGGCGCTTCGAAAAAGAAAGCTCACTTGCTCACGCTGTGCGGAGAAGAGACCTACGACGTGGTCTGCGCTCTTGTGCAGCCGAAGCAGCCCAGTCAGGTGACCTTCAATGAGATCATTCAAGCTCTAAAAGCTCATTTTGACCCACAACCTTCGGAACTCTTCTGTAGAGCACGCTTCCAGCGCCGCAACCAAGAGAACGGCGAAACAGTCAGTGCCTACGTGACAGCACTGAAAAAGCTCGCAGCAGACTGCAATTTCGGGACCACCACTGAACAAGCGTCAAACCCGACGCTGCTACCCTTGGAAATTATGCTGCGCGACCGTTTTGTTTGCGGCCTACGGAGTGAACAGGTCCAACAGCGTCTCTTCGTGGAAAAGGACTTAACATTTTAACGAGCCTACGACTTCGCCTTGCGAGCAGAAAACGCGGTCGAAGACCAGCGGAAAGTGAAGTCAGAATTCAAAGAAGTGCACAAGGCAAGTGCGAGCGGCGGCCCAGCGCGACATCCAGATCGGTCTGTCAAGCAACCGAAAGAGCAGAACGTTCAACGTTGCTGGAGGTGCGACGCACAACACAGTCCGGAGACTTGCAAATTCCAAACAACATCTTGCAGGTATTGCAAGAAACGCGGACACATAGAAAAGGCGTGCATCAAGAAGCGGAAGGACGTGAATTACTCGCACCGGAATCACAGCATGGAAGTACCTGAGCACCAGCTGCTGACAGCTCTACCAACACCACCTGTCGGGCTCCAACACGCAGCAGCAACGTCGACACTGTATGAGCTCAACTCTGTGTCACAAACTACCAATGTGCCAAAGTTCACAATGAAGGTATTAGTTGACAACAGGCACTTGAACTTTGAAGTGGACTCTGGAGCTGCCGGCATGCTCATCAGTGAGGCGATATTCAACGCCACGTGGAAGAACAAATCACCTCGGCTGGAGACTAACAACGTCTTGCTCTGCACGTGGTCAGGTCAGTCGCTTGGAGTTCTAGGCACTGCAACAGTGTTAGTCACACACAAAGACAAAACCTACTGTTGGAGCGTTTAAGTGTTTCTTAATAAGCCATATCACTGGCACGAGGACATCGAAGACGAGAAGAAAATCGGCCAGAGACGTCTTAAAAGGGAGCGCGTGGCAGGGAGCTGGCGGCCGGGGGAGCGCGTGGCCTGGGCGCGAGACGAGGCTCGTGTTTGGAACGGTTGGGAACGACACGTCAGATCGCATCGCTTGCAGCTTGTAGATGTATGTAAATAAAAGTTTGCTTGAAAGTAACCATCGACAACTACCAGAGGTTCCTACATTGGTGCCGAAACCCGAGAGGAACGACTGAACGAAGGGAACCTGGTGGTTTACAGCAACTTTTCATCAAGCCAAGCCAGAACGATCGGCGATCATGGACGTCCTCAAGAAAAAACGGAAGACGCATCGGATGCAAGTGACACGACTGACTGGTGAGGCCGACGCGTTACTACTCTTAGCTACACCAAGCGTCAACGACCTCGAGGTTCTAATCGAGCGTATTCATCTGGCCCGCGACCAACTGAACGACGTGGACGCGGCGATCGAACCTCTGATCACGGGACAAGATGCAAAAGCAGAGTTCAGTCATGCGATCGAGTATTCGGACAAGGTCGTCACGTACCTCACCAAACTTAAACAAAAGATGAAGAGCGTGGAGGGCAGCCACCCAGCAAGGGGACCATCGAGCGGAGATCGGAACGGAGGATCCTCGATGACATCAAAAATCAAACTCCCAAAATTGAAACTAATCCAATTCAACGGGCACCTAAAGGACTGGCAACCCTTCTGGCAGCAATTCGATACCGCCATTCATCAAAATCCGGAACTCACGCCGTCAGAAAAGTTCAACTATCTGCGATCAGCGCTGACCGGCGATGGAGCAGCAGCCATCGGTGGATTGCAGCCGACCGCTGAGTGTTACGCAGACCCATCGAGCTCCTGCAGCAGCGGTTCGGGAAGCAAGAGACGCTTATCCAGGACCACATGGAAGGTCTCATGGACATACAGCCAGTGCCACCACAACGGAACACCCGAGCCTTACGGCGTTTATACGACACTCTACAGGCGCACATCAGAGGCCTTAGAGCGTTAGGGGTGGGCGAAGAGGCGTATGGAGCTATGCTCTACACAGTTCTTTTGCGAGTGCTACCGAGAGATATCACTCTCGATTTCAACCGGAAGATGTCGGCGGAGGAGACCGGGAATGCCAACGCCGCAAGGGCATCAATGACAGACGCCAGTTTGGAATCCGCCCCACAGCAAGTACACCTGAGGGCTCTGCGGTTTCTCCTCGACTTTCTACGCATCGAGGTGGAGAGCCGCGAAAGGACATCAAAACACCAGCTGGAAGACGCCGTCGGTAAGCCCAGACCTCCTTCTCTGACGCATGGCTTTGTGAAGAGGTCAACGATCAACACTCACACTCGCAGTTCCACCGCGGCGGCATTGCACGGCAGTGTGGACGTCTTAGAGTGCTTCCTTTGCAAGTCAAAAGCGCACGGAACACCGGAATGTAACGCAAGAATCGGGCTAGCGGAGAAGAAGCGTAGGTTGCAAGCAGACCGGAGGTGCTTCCGCTGCACGAAGGCCAATCACATGGCAAGATTATGTCGAGGAGCACCCAGCTGTGGCAAATGTCAAGGCAGGCACGCGTCCACCATGTGCGACCCGAATTACGCGCCGGGAAAAACGTCCACCAGATCGAATGAGACAGAACCGAAGGAACCGGCACCGGTCGCTATGCATGTGCGTGGTAGGAACAGCAAGCCGGCAGTGCTCCTACAAACGGTTACTGCGTGGGCAGAAGGTACAAACAGAAGGAAGCTTGCCCGTATTATCTTCGACAGCGGCAGTCAGCGCTCCTTCATAACTGAAGAACTGTCTCAGCGACTGGACTGCAAATTGCTCGGGACAGAGATCCTCACAATAGGCGTGTTCGGGGGCGAAAGCACTGAACGTACGTTTCGCAGGGTTCAAGTAACTTTGCGAGACCGACTCTACAACAAAAGATATGACATCGACGCTCTCGAGACACCTACCATATGTGAGCAGGGCCTTCCGAGCCCAGATGAAGCAATCAGGGCAACATTAGAGGAACATGGCTGTACCGTGGGAGACAACATGACCGGACTGGAACAACGCGGCGCCGACATACTGGTGGGATCAGACCACTACTGGGGGTGCATCACAGGACGAATTCACCGACTGAGTGGACGCCTGACTGCAGTAGAGACTGTATTCGGATGGGCGGTTCAAGGACGAACGATGTCAACCTCCGCGGTTATTAGTTGTTCCCAGGTGGTCGTGCTGAGAACGGCGGTGCAAGAGCCCCAAACCTTGCCAAGCTTTAAGCAATCCTGGGAACTTGAGAACATGGGTGTCATCCAAGCATCGGTGAAGGATTCTTCGGACAACGACGTCACGCGAGACTCCGAAATCAAGATCGCCAGGACCAAGGGGACATACGAAGTCGGCCTTCCATGGAGGGTAGACTTCAGGTTGGCAGACAACAAGGTTCCTCGGATGCTAAAGAAGAACTGTGAAAGCGCGACGTGGCACCACTTGCCTGGAAAGAAGAACCCCGTCGGCCTCATGTCACGAGGTCTTCCCGCATCTGGATTGGTCTCCTCCGATCCCCTCTGTTGTTCGGGGACCAGTTCGTTGCCACTGCCAGCAACAGAATGGCCCAAGGAAAGGTGCGGAGAACTCCCTCGAGACGCCCTCGAGGAGAGAGGATCGAGAGCAGAAGCGTTTGAAGTCACAGTAACTCCCATTCCAGAGTTGATCGATATCTCGCGATTCAGCTCTGCTTCAAGGATCAACAGAACAACGGCTTGGATTTTTCGGTTTCTCCACAACGTCAGGTCAACTGAAAGACGAACGGGACCACTGACAGCCGAGGAGATCGAGGCAGCGCGAACTCACTGGATAAAAGAGGCGCAGCGCTCGGCGTTCGCTACCGAGCTTCGCTGCGCGACCAACTCTACGAAGACCCCGCCTGGTTCGCCCCTCCAAGACTTCGCCACTTTCATCGATCAGCGTGGAGTGCTTCGCATTCG